GCGGGCCAAAAAAATAATAAACGATGATTATACAAGGTATCAGATTATAAGTTGTTTTACTAAAAATGAATTAGTCAAAATGATTAGTTTTCAAAGTGAAAAATCAGTTACTAATAACTAGTCCACAGCAATTTGTATCCCGGACATTAAATTTTAACAGCCAATTCTTATGTAAAATTGTCCCCTGAATCTGAGAAGTTGAGAAAACTTATGAAAGTAGACAAATTGACAATATCTTAAATTGACTGCTAAATGTTCGGGATACAAATTGCTGTGGACTACAGTTATTAGTGACTGCTTTTTCACTTTGATTAATTCATTTTTAGAGAGTAGGTTATTTGTAAAACTTCTTTTAAATGTATTTATTTGTTGAGGGTACATTTTTTAAAAGTGAATATATGATGCGGGTGTCTTAAATTTCACCTGTCCCATTTTATTTGTAAGCAGGTGTTCGGCGAAAAATGACAACGATAATTTATTATACTTTCCTATTCATCCCCAGTGCAATAAAAACTCGTGCCTGCTGCAACCCCAATTCACATCGAGTTACTTGGACGTTTTATTAAAAAAAACATTTTCGATGATTGAATCAAAAATGAAGTTAACGTTATTATTGCCAGGCATACAACACTACTTTTAGGTTAATTGATTTGGACAATGTCCAATAGACATGTAACAAGCCGAAAACAAAAAAGTATCGATTTCCCTTTGCATGGAAACTTTCATTAATTAATCCTGATCACTCGTATTATGAAAGACAGATGTGAGACAAGGAGTAATTAAAACGATTTAATATAGGTTAACTTGCAATTAAAATGTTACGATTCCTTAATTATTCAATCTATTTTATGACAGTTAAGATAGATGTTAACTTAGGCCACTTTAAAAATTATAAAAGCGCTTTTAACACCTATTTTGAATGGGCAGGTTCATACAACATCGCCCTTCGAAGTCAATAGTTTGTGTTGATTCATAGCAGATGCAAATGCCATACTCACAATGCCCATTTAAAATAATATTTATTTAATAATGTACACACTTTATTATAAACAAAATAGAGAGAGAATTGAAAATTGTGTTTACTTTAAATATTTGTCTATTGTTTTAGCGGTACCGTGGCCAACATCAAGAGGTTGATAAATATTTTAAGAGTGATTAACATTTCATTTACCACTGCTTTTACTAGTTTTCGCATGTTGATATGCTAAATATTCAAAAATATGAAGTTTACAAATTTGTAGAACTCATTTTTCTTGTCAAATATTATATCGACGGTTTTTTCGATAAAATAAAAAATACGGCTGTTATTCGCGAATCCAAGATATTTGTTAATTTTAACCAATTATGTTAATCCATGTCAAAATAACTATGTTAAGTTTATATCCAACTGTAATTTGTTTACTAATTGAATAAGTAGTTTGAAATTGTAACATACATTTTGCAGATTTAATAACAAAATGTTTTGTCAATATTTCAAACAGGACCTTATATTTACGCATACCTCTCTTAAAATGAATTAGTCAAAAATAACTAATTATATATTATATTTGACTAATTGTCATACCGAAAAACCAGTTACTAATATTTAGTCAAATTCTACTGAATGAAATAGTTAAATTAGTAGATTAAAATTTAATACCCAGCGGATGTCATAACCAATGAGCCATCAGTCACTTCTATAAAAACAGTTTTATATGTCTATAAATATTGTTCATAATATTTTAAAGTTGAATATATTTTTTGTGTTGCTGTTTTGAGCTAAACTTTTTACATCTTTGTTTGTTATTAAGGGTCATTTAAGCATGGAGCCTATATGCATTTAACTCAAATAATAATTTGTTTTTGGCCGCAAACGATTAAAAAAATTAGTTATCTTAAACTTTAACTATTTAAGGGGCTTAGATGAAGATATTGAAATTTTTTACTGTTTTATATATCACCCTGTAGGAAATTTACTTGAAGAACCCTGAGCTTCATATCTATAGCGTGAATTTTTAGAGGATGAGGCTAGCATATATTACAGACCAAAATAACAAAAAAGTTATGTCGTTTTGAAAAAGGACGAACTTTTTGGTCGCGACACATTGAGTGATACGCAATTTAGTTAAAATTAAGTATTTAAAAGTGAAAACGAGTATTTTATTAGTAAAAATGCTGGTACTAATTCAAATAGTAGAATTTTGACTATTTCATTTTAAGAGAGTACATAAATGAACACAAAAATAACATTAACTCAATTAAATAACACACCATTCTGAAATCATCTAATTATATAGAAATTTGGTACAATATAATTATCAGTACTACAATACTTATTGATGTATTTCGTAACTAACCCACTTCACTGTATCCTCTAATTTTAGTTTAAAACCATCTTTCGCACACTCGTTAAATAGGTATAAGGTATACGAATAACAATAATAAAAGATTTCTGGTAATATATTTTAAATATTCTGGACAGTTTGATTGATTGCCTAAAATCACGTGTACTTATTAACAAAATAATTTGTTCAACATTAACAAAATATTCTGTAACCTTTGAAATTAACAAAATGCTTAAAAGTTTCATATTGCATTTACAAAACTTTCGGTAAAATATTTTCTTTTGTTAAAACAAACCCTGGTTTTATAAAAAAAATATGTTAAAATTTTACAAAATAATATTAACAAACTATAATTTAATTTTTTATTTATAAATGGAAACATTCAATGTAATATAAACATTAAAGATTTAATGGTATTTCTAAATTTGTTCTCAAACTTTCTGATAAAACCTATAAAACATTTCGTTGAACTTTTTAATATCCCAGCAATTAACGAACTTTTAGTTACATTTTAAGAGCGTGTTTCAGAAAGTGGCGCTAAATTTACGACGACATTTGATAAGTATTAAATAAACTGGCCGCCAGCGCTTAAAACACGGACCATTAAACCGGGGCTGAACGTTAAACCCGCCGAAGAATCAGAAATTGGTCGGTCGGAGCCAAACATCCGCCACTTGCCAAACATCGTTCTTTGATTTACAGGGGAAACCGTAAATCCGCTCAAAATACTTCCTCCAAAACTCATAATAAACTATCGGGACCAAGGTGTTTCACAAAGTATCTATTTATTCACACACAACAAGTCAGAAGTTACCTCCCTCTCTAGTATTTGATTGAAATTTTTAAGCTTTAATTGAATTTAAGTGAGGTTTTTAAAAACACATGAAAAACAAGTAAAGGGCCGACAAAATGTAACCATACTTCTTAACTAGAAACCAAAATCAAAAGATCTTGTGCGACTCCATTTTTGTGCAAAGCAAAAATGTGTCCATTATGTGCAAAGCAAACAATATATTATACTATAATATTATTATTGAGTGTTAAATAGTTTTTTGACGCCAATAATTGAAAAGATTTTATGAACGTTTGTACACTTTTGATTTCTCCGTAGTTGTGCAGGTAACTAGATTTAACAGATAAAGCGTTAAAAATTTTACGTACAGTGCCCATAAAACATTCTCTTCTCTTTTACTGTGAAAAACTGCTTCTATATGGATTGTTAGTCTATTTTCAAGGGATAAATTTTGATTTACGCAGACAAATATGCAAATTCCCAAGTTAGAAAATAACGGAAATTCCAATAAAGGCAACTGTCACTTTTTGTACATTTCTTGTGTAAGAATTTTTAATACTTTGTGATAATATTTTGCAATAATAGTAATACAAAAAAATAAATGATAAAATATTTTCTTAACTCAATCATATTATTTATTTTATAATTGTTCTTAAAAAAAATATAAAACGAATTACATTCCTACTATATCTACGACGAACACAAAGTGATGTTTTTCAGAATTTTAAGTTAATTTTATTTGATATTTCTTCCGACAACTGTCAAGTGGTGTTAACCTCCCTTTTTACCAATCTGACACCTTTCAAATGGTTTTAACCTCACTTTTTTGTAATTTAATGTACAAGTGCATTATGGAAATTTAGAAATATGTAGATAAAGTAGGACTTGCCTTGTTACACTAAAGTCTTCAATGGGTTTGAAAATCAGTGTGAAACTACTTTATTATCTACTGAAAACAACCATACCGTTAAAAAAAACGAATATTGCTTACCACCATTACCATTAACAGCCTATTTTAATTCATAAAATTATTTGAAATTAAAATTTAAAATTTACAATATTGAACATAACCTTGGATTAATTCGTAATTCTTGACACATCTGTTATAATATCGAGACGTCACAGTCTCTCTTTAAGGTCATCGAAGCGTTCTGCTTCATCACGTCAGTTTTTCAAAAAGTAAACCTAAAAGGTAACACGTTTACTCGGTATATTTGAGGTTATCTTTAAGATATGTTATGTTTAAAGAATCTTAAAACAATAATATTTTTTTAAATTTAAACTTAAATGAAGACTAAAATTAATGGTGTTATTAAAAAGTCTCTCCGATTTATATTTGATACGGTTTCTTGAGGCACAAACATACACCTACACTCACATATTATATATATATATTGTACACACAAAGGCCCGATACATAAAACTCAAGCAGGCCCATTAAACATTAAATCCTTTGTTTTTTCATCTCAAGACTGTCTGTCATAAGCTGGATCTTTTTATCCCCCTGTAACGGTGGGACCATTGTTTTGCAGTGCGCGCTGAATATTAACCTTGTGTAAAACAACAAGAATTTTTTTGGCGCTAAGGTCCGTAAAGGATTGCTAAATATTAAGCAATGTCGAGTTTGCGTCAAAAATGAAAGAATAGCAATTTTCTCGAAGTGGTAAGGAATTTATTACTTTTAATTATTGTGTCACGTTTTTAATATGCAATATGCAAAATCGAAGTATAAGACGGCTTGGCTTATAGGGGTCACCGTTTCCCAAAAGCAATATCCATTAATTTTTTAATTAAATCCAAAACAAAAACAAGATAAAAGTCAATGATTAATGTATTAATATTTTACGAATAATGACGAGTAATTAAATTTTATCGATAAAATCTCCAAACTGTATATTTCACTTACATTAATTACATTACTTGTTATTAAATAACGTTTTATCTTATTAAATTAAATCGACATGGTTGTATAAAACGCGTGATTCAGCGCTTTAAATTTATTAAAAAACATTGGTTAATCTTTGTATACTTCTTTATTCTAACAAGTGTATATTCGACTTCTCTTCTTAGGCGGTATTAAATGTGCGGGCAGCTCCAAGGGAATTTCGTTACCATTCAATTTAATGTTTATCAAATGCATCGCCAGAGCAAACTCGTCTTTATCCAAATACCCATCCTTATCCACATCCGACAACCTCCAAATTTTGCTCAGAATCATATTCGGCAGCTTTGATTTTATAAGTTCTTCTTTGGCAACAGCGCCTGACATTTTTTCAGTATCGGGACATATGCGATCGAAGATTATGTCGGTTTTGGGTCGTTCGCGACTCACAATCCAGTCAGGTTCTCCAAAACCTGCATTAGCTCCTTCACCTTGTTTATATCCGAAAGGCGAGTCGAAGTTTTCAACGCATTCAAATGCGCCTCCTGTAATTTCAAGATCATACGAACCTTCGGAAGGTAGAAGCGACATTAGTTGTGCTATATCGTTGCAGAGCATGTCGTCGACTACTTCCAGTAGTTTCGGTTTGAGCGAGTGAAACTTGCTGAAATCTTGCTGCGTGAGAAGGTCTTGCATCTTGTGGAACTCCGGAAAATCCCCGGGGGATATGTTGTGCTCCTTCTGTATTTTCGCGTAAACTTTTTGGAGGTTCAAAATCAGGTCCTTCTTCTTGCTGTCCTTACCGAACATCGGCATCTCCTTCTTGAGCTCCGAAATAATGTAGGCATGCACTTTGGCGAGCCTCGCACGCTTGATTAAGTCGTTGAGCTTCCTGAGCGCCGAATTTCCGGGCAGTCCTTGCAGATCCTTGAAAAGATCCTGCGTCTCGTCCTCGAACAGTCTCCTGTTGACCGAGCAATTCAGCGGCTCGTCCCAAAACGAGCCGATATAAACTCTAACGACCTCCGGCATCTGAAGCACTTTCCCTAACGACCACATCAAGGCGCCGTACACTCTCATCAGCTGCTGATGGTCGATCATGTCCGCTTTGTTCAAAACTATCCGAATTTTGTCGTCGTGGCCTCTCAGCGCTTCGATCGAGCGGCGGAACTCGTCGGAGATGTCCAGCTTGTGCGCGTCGAACAGCAGAATTATGCGGTCCACTCTTTCCGCGAACCACTCCAGCACCCCCGTGAAATCGTAGCCTCTGTCTATTCGCTGCTTTTCACCTGAAAAAAAAAAGATTTTTTTTAAACACACGTTACAGAGTCCAATGAATTATTTATTGCATCGTCGCCTTTTTAAGGCCGAAAGCTCTTTAGACCTCGCTGAATCTTTGATGCTGCTTTTAAGGTGCTAATAAAATATAGGTATAACACTTTGGCTTTGCGGCGACCTAGAAAAGGTTAAGCACTAAATTTTGGGTTATTCCATCCGCAATGTATAATTTATTATTCAAGCTTTATAAAACCTACCACACTGAATTATTTATAGACCGAAAAATCATATACAAGACAAGTTTTATCTAGATAAAAGTTGACTAAAAAAAACTCAAAATGTCCGTTTTGCAAGTAAATTTTTTTACAATTTTTAAAATGAGATTTTTTCATTTTAACAATGTCACGGCACCGCGGTTACACTTTTAGACAATTGTCTCAATTAGTATTAGTTTTACGGAAAAAAGTTTAATATAAAAAACGTAGAGAATATAATTGTCTACAAAAATGGTTTTATAAATTTTGGCAAAATATTGACAATTATCGAGAACTTTTAGAATAACTGAGTGCCGCGGCAGCAAACTTCCATAAAAATCTAAAATATCGCGCTTACACTGTTCAAAATTTCATGACCATTTTAACACCAAATTAACACCATACATGGTCTATATCGATATAAACCAAAATGGTGTTAAATATGGTTCGTTGGTCCGGTGTTAATTCAAATACTAAAATAGTTTAAATTTTACCTGGTGTAAATTAAACTTCTTTTCAGTGTTAAATATTATGAGTTTTTGGTCAAATTAAATTATGCTACACAGAAAACAAGGGAAAAAAAGGAAACATGAAGTTCCTTGACGCATTACTAGGATTGTGGTATTATTCCAGAAAATTGAACCTTCAACTCGCTAGAGATAATGTTTTAGTGCATTCCACCAACTTAAAATACTTCAAGTATTGACAGCTGTTTCCACCTATTTAAGGTCTCTTTAGTATCAAACAACTTATAGTGTCACCAAAGCAAAGGACTACCTGAGCTTATATACTTTTCATGTAAGTCAACAGAGGCGAGATTTAAGAACATCACGTGATCCACACCGCCTTTGCCGCGATCGGTACACACTATGCAACGGGGAATGCACGGCAAATTGTTTTAATAGTTTTAACAGAGTGCTTTAGGTTGAAGTAACTGTTATTTTACAAACAACATATTTAGTAAACTGAACCATACAGCGGGTTGGTTTCACTAAAGTTTTCAGGGTTAATTTAACCAATTTAAAAAAAATAAAATAATTATCTGGTTTAGTACCATCAAACTAATCTTTGTTTATATTATCCTTCCCACAGTTGATTTAAATAAATACTTATGGGTCAACTAAATTAATATAGTTAAATGAACTATTTCTTTTTTTCTGTGTAGGTGCAATTCTCAAATATTTTTAGATAAACACCGTTTTGGTGTTAGCTGTATATAACATTTTCAACCATTATTCATGGTGTTTAATTAACACCACTTGGTGTTGGATTTTGACACCATTTTAAGATTACTTTTTACACCACAGATATTTTAAACAGTGTACTGTCAAATTTTCGATAAAAATTTTATTTAACTTTTTTTAGATAATTAAATTCTGCATACTTTTCATTTTTAAAATTTTTTTGTAAAATTAATATTTTTCAAGATATCGCCAACAAGTTTTTCTAAAATTTGTCGTTTTTAAGTGTTAGAAATATATATTTTTTGAATTAACCGAAAATTTATTTAAACAACTTAAAATATCTAACTTTTTGTAAAAACTGTCTTGTTAGCCATTATAGTGAAATATGATAATTCCCCAAATAAATGAATGAATAAATAAATAAATATTTATTTTATGAAAAAAGTTTAATACAAAAAACGCAGAGAAAATTATTTCATACAAAAAAAACATTATAAAGTTTGGCAAAATATTGACAACAATTGAGTTTTTAGAAAAACTTAATCCTTAATCGGAATAAAATTTAAAATAAAAAACGTAGAGTCAAATTTTCGATAAAAAGTTTAATTAACTTTTTTTAGGGAATCGAATTCTCTAAATTTTGTTTGTTAAATTATTATTTATCATGATATTTTTAGTGTTTGAAATACCTATATATAATAAATTACCCGAAAAATAATTTTAAAAAACTTAAAATGTCTTTCTAACTAACTTTTTTGTAATTTAACATTGAAAAGTTTAAAATTTAACGAGATTTTTAGATTTGCTTCGGCAAATATTCTTTGTCGTTTTAAAATGCGAAATGCCACAACAAAAATAAATAAAATTCAATTACAAAAATTGACATTAAAACTTGGTATTGTGGATTTCCAATTTCGCGTTCGTTGTCGATTTTGACGGCTCACCTGCAAGAATTCCGGGCGTGTCGATGATGGACATGCCCTTAAGAACGGGCGACTTGACAAGCGAACACTGGAATCTGTTTAGGAAAGAATTTCCGAAGGTGGAGAGCGGCTTGAATTGCTTCTTGGGGTCGACGACTAGAGCGTTGCCCGGAATGACGCCCTCCTTGTCCCCATACATCACCGCTATAAATCTATCGGTCGTGGGTTCCGGACCGATCCGCATCCCCGGAAAATCCCTTTCGAGCAGGTATTTTATGAAAGTCGTCTTTCCCGTGGAGTACTGGCCCACCAGGAGGATCAGAGGTTTTGCTTCGAAGTCTGCATTGTTTAGCGGGGGCGAGTGGAAATCGTGGAACAAGTAGTGCTCTTCCAAGGGCAGCAGTTTGTTCTTGTAGATGCTTTTCAGCCCTTCGACCACGTTTTCGTATACTTCATGCCGGACTTCCGGCTTATCATTAAGCCAGGTGAACATTTTTAAAGCGGTAGATTTTTTCTAGGAAAAAAATTTGACGTACGTCAATTTGACATCTCAAAACAGACAGAATAAATATTTTTGACAAATAACGCGTTTTAACTTAGTTTTTACAAGCAAATGGTTGACTTAATACTTTAAAATCAAAATGTTTTTCCTAGAAATAGAAGAAATATAAAGAGCCATCTGGTGGCATTGTGGGAATTCAAAAATTGTCAACACTACATTTAAAGCATATATGAACTGCACATTATTTTTAAATAAATAAGTAGTTTTTTCACAAAAGAGAGGAAGGCAGAAGTCTTACTCGATAAATTTTGTTCAATTGCATTCAGTCGCGCATGGTATTTGTGTTTCGGATTGCAAGTAAAAACTAAAAAACTTTGGTTAGATTTTTATTTATTATTTCTTATACAACTCAACGCTTAAATGCTTATATAGTTACGTTAGTGTGAGTATTTTATCCAAGTTATCATGGTGAATTATTGTGTTTTCAATTGAATCCTTGAGATTAAGGGCAGTACATGTCCAAAAATTTTATTTTAAAAAATAATTTTCTAAAATCAATTTAAAAGTTTAAAAAGCATTTTATTGAGACGATGTAATTTATTTAACAAAATTTAACTATTATATTTTGTAAAATAGTTGAAATATTATCACAAAAATGCATTTTGAACTATATAATTGATTTTATAAAAAAAATTTTAAAATTTTTACTTTTGAACTTGCACTGTTGTAAATGTAATTCAAGAACTAAATCGTTTAATTTTCATGTTTTGCCAAATTCTATACCTACGTATATGTGTTGTATTACCAAATAAAATTTATATTTACGCCGGTAAACTGCATTTTAAAACAGTAAACGACAGAATATATCTACGCATTCATAGCAACATAATATTATATTTGGTATATTACCGTTGAGTGGAGACTTTTTCAATCAACCCTTTTAATAATAACACTGTTTGAATTTAGAGGACTTATTTGTTTTATTATTTTTACTGAATTAAAATTTTAACCACTTTCACGTAAATCATTACTAAAATGTGTATTTATTGTATCTAATAGGTAAAATTTATATTTACAGGGACTGTATGAAATTTATTTCATCATTCTGATTTCCACGGTTTATTGGGAAACCGGTAAAAACTGAACCCAGGATTTCCTCTTGAAAAACACCCAACAACACAACAAATCGTTCCACGTTTTTTTCTTTCGTTATTTTTAACATTTTCTGGCTTTATTCTCAAAAAACACTCGTTCGAATTTGTTTAATTGTAAGTAAGATCTGTCTTAATACCTTCACTTGTGCGTATTTATCTGTTTAATATTAAATTTACGTCACGTTCTTTAAAAGTCAGGTTAGACCGATAAAGATGTAAGGTCATGTTAGACAGCATCTGTCAATGTGTCTTCTGTCATGTCTCAACTTGACACCTGTCAAAGTGTTGCTTGATATTTCGTTGGGTACTTCTGTACATAATTTAAATTTTTTTGTGTGAAAAAAGTTAAATGGACTTTTTGCCAATATTTTTTTAATTTGATTAGGATTAACTTGTCAACTCAATTAGTTCAAATCACAGTGAATAATGAAATTGGCCAATCACTGACCCCTAACAACGTGAATAATGGGTTCATTATTCCCGTTTTTAGTCAGGGAATTTATAATGTTTATCATTATTCACTGAAAAACCCAATATTATGCAATAAGAGTAGATAAAAGCAATTTTTTAAATAATAGTGTAGGTATTACTAAAAACTTTAAATTCGTTGAAATTGACGTGACTGCTTATTAAAAAGTAATACTCTGGAGGATTAACATTAAAGTTAGCTTTGCCGCAAATTTGATAATAATCTGAAAATCCCTCGGAGCTTGAGAACGAACAATGTGAAAATTTGGATGAGAGGAATTCAGGAACCAAATTAATTCACTTTATCCTCAAAACAAAGACAGGCACAAAGATGATGATATTAGGATTATAAAATTAGAGCTTTTCTTTGGCTAACAAAAAATATCAAACATCTCGACGTTGTTTGAGAAGAATTTTAGAAATCTGTTAATTAAGAGAATTTAACAAGAAAATAAAGTGCTTTGATTACTGGCGATCTATATTTCCGCGTTTTCTTTGGTTAATGATGGTATTTCGTGAGGCGCAAGACAATTAAACACTTAATTAATTCGCCAAAGTTTGGATGATTGTGGCCATTCAAAGGAATTTAGGGGATTTTAAAAGCGCAACCAATGAATGTTTTTTCCCGAGCCTTGCAACGAAAATTTATAATTAATTTTCAGAAGTCCATAGAAAATTATTTATCTTCTTCGGAAACGATATTAATTTTAATTGAAAATTGTTTTGCTTATCAAGACAAAACTGAATCTAAATAAATAGAATAAATCGTTTATTAAATTTATGAATTTCAATGCTCCGCCACACGAATATTTTTTTATGTTTTGCAGATTACAAATCATGAAAGGTCCATTATCAGTTCCGGTTTTTGATTCAATTGAGAGCTTCACAACAAAGCGCTTCCCCCAAAATGTTCCACAGACACCAAATTAGTTGTTTTTTATATTCATTTTCATCAATAACATTTTTTTACAATGGGGTGATATATCGATATACTGTATTTATTTAGTTTATTTTACAAATGTACACGTACAGACAAAGAAAATAGGACATGCAAAAAAACAAAAAATGTAGTCCAAAATAATGAAGACAAAACCTACCTGAAAAAAGCTTTTTTAAATTGTAATAAATCCTCCAGATTGGGACATTTCAAAACAATCCACATCAACCATACGAATAAGATATCTTGGGAAAGCATTTGAGGAAGTTTCTAAAAAGGCAATAAATAAGAAACAAGGTAGAGATTTACATAAAAAACAACAAGTAGCATTCACCGGTATAAAGATTAGTGTTCTTATCTCTTAAGATCAAAGGACAACATTCCCCTGTTAACAGAATGCATGCGGATAGCGTAATAACTTCTTCTGATGTTTATCAATGTTTTTAAGGGTTTTTAGTTTAATGATATGAAAATAAGGAAATCAATACCTATGCGTCTGTAGTTTTAAAATGAACTAGTCCATTTTTGGACTAATTTTCGTTGTGAAAAATTAGTCAAGTTCTACTAATTCGAATATACAGAACTCACGCCACACACTGAAAAAATTATTTTGTAAAATTACTATAACTACGCGGGTTATTTTTTCCCAAAGTAAATTTATTAGCGTATTATATTTTTACTATTAGTTATGTAAAAATACGTACTAAATTAATTTCCAAAGTTACAAAACATTTGTTAAAATTATCATAAAAGTATTGATAATAATACAAAACAATACTTAAAACTCATAAGAGACGAGGAAAATTACCATAATATATTTCCAATCGTTGCTTGCCGCATATATAATAGTATACTATAGTTTCTTTTATTGTAAATTTACAAAATATTGTAAAATATACTATAGTTTCTTTTATTGTAAATTTACAAAATATTGTAAAATATAAATAACTTAATTGTAATTCTACACACTATTTCTATTAATATTTCACATATTTACAATAACTACGTATTACAGTATTTTACAAGTTGTAAACAAGAAGTTTACATAATTTTTTTTAAAACGCAGTGTAATTTCACATTATTTTTGCGAATTTGTTGTAGAAATTTAACATTATTTTGCAAAATTAACAATGAAATTCAATTATTTTTTGTAAAATTAAAACTGAATTTTACAATTAAATTGGTGAGTGGAAGAACAGTACAAGTGCTATTTTTTTGAAAATTGTGTTTATCAATTTTTAGTTGTTTTTTTTAAATGGCACTTGAAGATATTGTTCTTCCACTCACTGATTTAATTTTACTGCTTAATAATTATTAGAACCTTTTATGAATTTTTCTTTGATGACCAGTAAAATTTTAAGAGTTTGTAATACTCGATTTTTTTGTAAAGAATTTGTTAGCTTCATTATAAAACGTTGAACTTGTATATAGCGAAGGGGGTATACCTTACAATCTAAGAGAATAAAAATTAAAATATTTAAAACAGTGGGTTCAAATGCTGATAATGTTTTTGGATTTCTTAAGGGTACTGCAAAAATCTTAATTAAAATAAGTTGGAAATATAAGAAGTACTGTTGAAAAAATTATAAGAAAATACTTATTTTGACTTACTGCTTCCATTTCTAAACATTAATTTCGCCATTTACAAGTTCAAGTTTTTAAACTATGTGTATCTGAAACCAGCAAAAGCTTAAGCTAACAGTTTAAATATTTTTTATAGATATTTTTATTATTTACAACTTTTATACGTACCATTTTTAGTTTTTTTTTTAATGTTGAAGGGTCATAATATAAAAAAATATTTTTGGTAATTTTGGCTTCCTCTTTATTTTCAACCAACTACAAACGGTTTTGCCTAAAAATAAATATTGGAAATTTCAAGCTTATTTTTTGCCTTTACACTTTTTTGCCCAACCAATAGGAAACGGGATAAAAGGGGGGAAAGCACCGTAGAGGGGATCACGGGAATTTGACAGTTTACCCTTTAGACCTCCAGGAATAACAAATCCAAAATCTAGTCAGTTTGGAATTTTTCCGATTTATCAATTTTCTTATCTTCAATAAAAAATTAATAAAATATCTTCATAATTTTCATTACTTGGTTCATTTACCTTACTTAATTTTATTTATGATTACATTATAAACTTGCCTTAAAATATTTAAGTTATTTAAATGATTTAAAGCTTATAAATCATACATGTATGTATGTATCATAAAAGAAGTATTAAAAAACGGTTTTATTACGATTTTATTTCACGTTCCTATTAAAATCCAAACAAAAAACGCGCCAGGGGGCAGTACAATTTAAAAATGCGCATACATTGAATATAAAACGGCTAATTTTGTCCTTCCAGAATGTCTAATCAATTTTTTTTCTAATACCATATTGTCATATTACCATCAACAGCCTTATTAAGAATACAAATTTTAAATTTATTATGTATAATCTTGAGATTTTTATCTCATCTGAGGTGTCAATCAATTTTTTTGTTGATATACCCGTTATTTTTTATTGATTAATTAAGAAGAACTAGAAGGCTTAGGACAATCTATTCGTGATCAAAAATAATCATTTAGAATGTTCTTAACTGTACAAGCTTAGTTATACGATCTAAGAAGTATCAAATCCGATAATTAAATTAATTTATATTTTAATAACTTTCTCTTGAGCGAGACACTCATACACGTATGTTATGATGGTTATGGCAACCTAAACCGAAAATATTGCTTTAATAAAATCCCAGGTAAGTACGTTTGAAACTAATCTCTTAGAATGCAATAAAATTAATGTTATAGTTGTAGTTTTCAGATTAAAGAGACCGTTAGCAAGTTTAAATAGTCGAGAGTGTTCGTGACAAAAGTTTATTAAGAACTCGAAAGAAACTTGGATTCGAAAAGCTTGAAAAAATACCTGCCTTTGACGCAACATATTCGATTAAATTACAGAACAAATTTTAAACAAAAAAGTTTATGAACATACGCGGCAGTCCCTCATTTAAGTGGGGCGCAGTCATCTAAACTTTCGGGATTAAAGTCGAACAACTGACAAATACAAAAACAAAAACGAGAGGAAAAGAACAGCGAAGAGTTTAATTCGACGGCTTAACTCGGCTGCTTTGATTTCCAGCTTTTTAAGCCACGATTCCGCAAATTGAAATTGGAATTTATAGTTGGACAGACTTTTTAGTCAAAACGTTGTATTTTCTTCCTCGCCGAATAATACCCTAAATCAACCTAAAACAACATCGCACATCCTTTGGAAAAACATTCTAGTTCGTTTTATTATTCCAATACATATCCTGTAGAGAAATAACAATGTGTTTTTGAATTTGAACGTTTTATTTTTCTTAAGAAGTTTAGGGTACAAAAAGACATATACCAAGTTATTGCTAAACTGTGTTGTAAATGTTGACAAAATTTATATGCCAATTCTACAGGTTTAAGTGCATACGAGAAAAAAATAATAAACAATAATGTTGAATGTGTCCAACCAAAATTATCAATCTGTCATTTTCGTCTGAAAGATCCGGCCACACTGCGCTACGAACACGTGATATTTTAGGGCTTAATTTATTTGGTGACTATACACAATAAAAAAATATTTGTTAATTTTAACCAAAGTTTAACCAGATTTTGTGTTAATCCAGGTCCACATAACTTTATGTTAAGTTTACAAACCAACTGTTATCTGTTAACTAACTGAATAACTAGTTTGTAATTATAAAAAACATTTTGTGTATTTAATAACAAAATCCTACATCAATAATTTAATAATAATTCTTGTAATTTTTAAAAAGGACCTTATTTTTATAACCCTTTTTGTAAACCCACTAGCAAAAGTATTTGTTGGAAATTGGGAACATAAATAAATCTAAATGTTGCTTTATTAATCAATTTCCTAAACAAAAAAAACTAACATATACCTAGTCTCTAAAAATGAATTAGTCAAAAATGACTAGTTACTACAGTTATTAGTGGCTGCTTTTTCACTTATACCATGGTTAACCAAGGATACCATGGTATCCCCAATATTTAACAGCCAATTCTTATGTAAAATTGTCCCCTAAATCCAAAAATACAGTTTTTCAGATATGAGTACATTAGATGCACAACTCTGCATTTGCAGGATAAGTGATTTTAAGAAAAACACAAAAAACCGCTCATAAGGTCATTAAAAAAAAATGCAATGCATTTTTTATTCAAAAAAGTAAAAAAAAAATCCTTTACAATTAAAATCAAAAGGTTTAAAAACTTAGTTTTGCATCTTCCTCGTTCAAAGACCAAGTTTTGCAAGTGAAAAGTGCAAATACCAAAAAATAACAATTAATCAGGCGATTGTTATGTCGTCACTTAATTCGTATATTAGCGACGTGATTGGTCTACAGCAAATACCGAGTTTTGCATCCGACAGGAAGAAACAAATACCCAGTTTTGCATCTGCGTTAAGTTTATTAATGTACATATTTTATTCTACAAATATTAACTTATGCAGTGCAGTTATGAACATAAATAGGATAAAATATATATTTTATAAAATTTGCAAAAACCGAGTTTTGCATATAATCTACTCATATAGGAAATTCAGTATTATTTGGACAATTTACTATATCTCAAAAACTGTTCTACTTTTCTTTACTTTTGACAGGAGACAATTTTACATGGAAATTGACTGCTAAATGTTCTGGATACAAATTGCTATTGACGAAAATTATTAGTGGGTGCTTTTTCGCTATGACAGAAACATAAGTTGCAGACGCTGAAGTCAGTTGAACTTGTTGATGCGTATTGTCAGTGGGATATGTCACAGAACATAAAAATTCGTTTTTACAACTCATTTTAAGATTTTAAATAACTGCATAAAGAAATGTCACTGCAACTGTCAAAAGCGAAACGCGTTACCATAGAAACTAACTATCAACAACTCGCAATTTTGTCGCGTTTAATCCCATTTTTGGACTAATTTTTTGATATTTTCAAATTTTACATAAATAATTTTTTTTTCTTCTTTTCAGTTGATGGAGGTTGGTCTCCATGGTCACAATGGTCGGACTGCCGATGCCCGGGCTCGACTCTCTCCTCCGGAAAGATGAGCACCAGGACCTGCACGAACCCGCCCCCGAGTAACGGGGGCCAACAGTGCCAAGGAATGGGCGTGAGAAGGACCAAGGACTGCACGCTGTGCCCTCAAGGTAAAAAGGATTTCGCTTGGGAGAGCGGCTTTACTTATGCGAATTTAGGAGCTGGTTGTATTTATGTATCCGACTGCGGCGACTGGTTGGCACCACTGTAAGACAACGGGAGTTTGCTGGATAATTGGCCGCAGGGGTGTTTTTTCAAGGATAACTTTCGCAAGCTTATAAGTGGGTCACAGCAGGCCAAGTTTCCTCATTATTTTAATTGATCCAAGTGGGATTTGAAATAATTATTAATAGTATTTTTCCACTCCTAAAAGTTGTCAAATGTCATACAATCGTTAAAATAAAGTGCCAAAAAATGCAAAAGTATTAATTAGTTTCTTGACGCCAATATTTGAAAAGATTACATAAACGTTTGTACTGACCTTTTAATTTCGCTGTAGTAGTGCATTTAACTATAGTTTTAACTGATAAAGCGTTAAAAATGTTGCGTACAGTGCCCATTAAACATTCTCTTCTCTTTTACTTTGAAAAACTGCTTCTATATCGACACAGAAAAATTTGAGATTTTAACGCCGGTAGATTCTTAAGTTAGAAATTCTAACGGGAATTCCAATAAATACAACTGTCACTTTTTGTACCTTTAACAGTTCCCGTGTAAATTTTTTTAATACTTTGTGATAATAAAAAATTAAATGATAACATATTTTCTGAACATAATCATATTTTGAAGTTTTTTTAATATTTTACCTACACAGCACATATATTCATTGGACGTCCAGTGGACGGCCATTGTACATCCAAACGTCCAATGTAAGTCCATTTGACGTCCATTGGACATCTTGTGCTGTTTGGGTAAAGTTTCAATAATTGTTAAGTTTAATTAAAATAATTAACGGGCAATGTTAATGGTGACAATTACGTCAAAAATGTTTATTGGGATGGTTACTTTATTTTCGTATAGATGTCGCTTCATACAAATATTTAATTTAAAAAAAATTTCAGAAAATATTAAGTATTTGTCGTTAGTTAAACTAAAACAGTTATTTAAAACACGGTTAACGAAAGCTTTTAAAAGGCTTAACGAAATAAAACGCTCTGATCAGCGATGTATAGTTTTTCGATTTCCATTAGCTTATATCCGCTCGATTACTTGGCTTTATGGGATTTTTGTTACTAATTACCAAGTAATTGGAGTATGTTGTCTATTTTTGTTTCGTCCCTATCTTCTCGAGTATTAATTAACTTAAAACCCACACACGATACACTTTGTAACCGGACGATTTAATGTTGATTTTATTTATGTAATTAAAGATTAAAACGATTTTCAATTTATTCTAAAAGCGAAACAACCTTAATAGGCATTGTTTGGGCATTAACTAGGCACTTACTTATAGGTACCATATTTGTGCCTCTTTAATAAAAAAAAATGATTTTTTTGTCAAATTTTTTTTTACAATGTTCTGTATTCATTGTTGTCAAACGCGCTTGACAACCTGTTAAAATTATTAGAAAATACCAATCCCAGTTAAAAGGATATTAATTATAAAATTAATATAGCGTGAATTGTACATATCAATAAACCAAATTTGAAATTAATTAACATGAAACATTTGCACTGACCTATTTTCCATTTGGCAACTAACAGTTCGGTTCATTTCTAGCTGCAATTGTCACTGTTGCGGTCATCATTAATGGAAATTATTATCGTGGAAAAAATGGCACGCCAACAAATAACGCCTGACGGGCTTTTAATGGCGGATGTTTTTCATTTTAATATTTATTTTGTCTGTCGCATGCCGCTCGTTTATCAATTTATTTGCGAAAACAGGAATAATTGATATTTATCGCCGGTTTAAATGTAATCTGTCATACTGTTTGTACGCTTCGATTTATTACCAATCATAATGCAAATTCAAAACTATAAAATAAAAGATTTGTGGTTGAGCCTGCAAATTTAAGAGGCCCCATACGCAAAGAAATTTGTTGTCAAAATCAATATAAATATATGAATCTTCTTTACAATTTGTATAGTTGCTACACATATTTTTAAATGTCCAGAAAATGTTATAATTGTGTGTACATAAATATTTTAATTTATGGTACAAGATGACAAAACTTTGTACAGTTTTACTAAAAAAGTATTTCTCCAAATTGTCGTAAAATAAAAATGACACATTATTGTAGTTATTATTCAAGCAACGACCAAAATTTTCTATTGCAAATTGTAGCATATTATAAGGTTATATTTGTATATTACTCATAAAATGTTGTTGGATAAGGGGATTAAAAAGCCAATATTACTGACTGGTATAAAATCAACATATTAGTTTTAAAAATAAACTAAATGCTAAAAATGCAGTATACAGAGGTGTGTTCAGAAAATAACGGGAATTGTTAAATTTCGCGGGTTCGGAGGGTCCGGTTGTCATAAAATTCTTCTTCTTTATTATGTTGGTATATATGCCCCCGAAGTATGATAAAAACTTTAGCTGTTTTCATTGCTTACTTTGTCTGTGGCAGCCGCTAAGGTTAGACGTGTTTTATGAGCTCGGCGATTTTTCGTTCGTTAAAAGAAATGGATCAAAGAATTTGTATCCAATTTTGCTTAAAAAATTAAATAAATTCTGTGAAATGTTAACAAAGGCCTATAGTGAGTCTGCTATAAGTAAAACAAGAATTTACAAGTGGTATAAGAGTTTCCAAGATGGCCGTGAAGACTTTGAAGATGACGAACGCACAAGCGCATTAACAACCGATAAAAACATGGAAAAAGTGGAAGAAATGGTTATAAACCATCAGAGAAGTCGCTGATGATGTAGGTATATCGATTGGCTCATCCCATGAAATTTTTTAAAATGTTTTGGGTATGAAATACGTGACAGCAAAATTTGTTCTAAAATTGTTAAATTTTGAACAACATTTTTGGCCAAACACAATACTGTAATGATATCCCACCCTCCATATTCGCCAGACATGCCTCTGTCTGGCTTGTTCCTATTCACAAAAATAAAGAGAACCTTAAAGGGCCGTCGTTTTGCAAGCATAGATGACATTAAAAGCGCATCGCTGAAAGAACTAAAGGCTATCCCAAAGATCGAGTTTTAGAAGTGTTTCGAGTATTGGAAGAAGAGCTGGCACATGTGCATAATATCCAATGGGGACTATTTTGAAGGCGACAACATTAATGTAGACGAATAAATAAATATTTGTTTCAAAAAACGAAAATTCCCGATATTTTCTAAACACACCTCGTACATGCCTTACAGCTTTAAAATAAATACCTAATTCAGTGACAAATAAAATAATAAATATTAGACATATGGGTGTTTTGGAAAGCCTTTATATTGCTGTATTTGAAAATATACCAATATACCTAGTGTTCCATTTAACATATACGAGTATATAATATTTCATGAACGCATTGCTTCATTGTTTTGGTTCCGACATGTTCAAAGACTACCGGTTCAATGGCAGAGCTGCAAGTAAATAAAAAATACACTGTTAAAGACCGTATTTTTGTTAGTATAACCTGAAAATTTTGTACAAATCAAACAAACAGTACAGCGCTTCAAAGTTGGTAAAAATGACACCTTTTTTATTATTTTGCTGAAAAGTGGTCATTTTTTACGAATTTGAAGCGCTGTATTTTCGTTCGATTTGTACAAAATTTTCAGGGTATACCAACAAAAATACGGTCTTTCACAACATATTTTTTATTTACTTAAAAATAAATTTCCATATAAAAATTTTTTTCGATCATTTTTTATTATTAAATAAAAGGGCTTTAAGGATATTTTCTCGAAAAAACCCTGAACACGTAAACTGAGATAAAAGTATACAAAAAAAAATGCGTTAATTTTGAGTGTATATTCAATTTAGAGCATAACAAGTGAAGCGACAGTGACCTAAATTCTTTTCATGTTTGGGAGCAATATTACCACAAATTTGTTACAACAATGTTGTTGCAATTAAAATAATTGAATTAATTTAAACCTATTTCTTTCCGTGCAGAAGACTACCCTGCGGCATTCACCATTTTTATTTTAAATCTAGGTTTTGTTGAACTTTTGTTACTTTGGGCCAACCAGTCGCCAAATTAACACTTTTAACCAATTTATGTAAAAATAGAATTACTAACGATCGTTATTAACCTCCCTTTCCTCTCCCGAAACGCTTTCGTAGAAGAGCTGGTGCTGGATACTGCTTACGATTACGATTCAAACGAAAACTCATTCGGTAAGGCAAATGCTTTCTTAACATATTATTTTATAACGCTAGAATTTAGCAAACATTTTGTTACTTAAGTAAGACAAGATCGTATTATACTTTGGAGGTAATTTGTCTAAATGTCTGGAAATGCTTGTTTTACTTAATTGTCACAAAAAAATATATGTATAAGTAGAAAGTATATTTTTTGTATTTACGAAAATCTATGGACCATAATAACACAAAAAACATCCTAAATCATACTCTTGATAAGTAATAACTTCATTTTGCTGAAATTTATTGTACACCATCAATTTTGACATGTTTGTTTTCTTGTAGAAATGTCGCATTTCGTAAGAAAAATGGCGCTCATTATACAAAGTGGTGGTCATTGTCTTAATGAATTAAAACATCATTCTTGCATTTTGCTAGTAGTTTGATAATATTTTCTTATAAATCCATAGGTTTTTAAAATTTGATACAGCATGTTAATTTGATCCTTTTTTAATATTCTTATACCACTAAAGGCTATTATTATAATCATTAAATATATTGATAATTCCTAGGGAACATTTTTTTATGAAGTAGTGTTTTGAAAAAAAATAAGGAATAAAGAAAATAAAAATTAAACAAATTATTTTTCTTGCCTATTTTATATGTATTTTGTGTGAAAATGATTTAAAATACTTTTAAACATAAAATAATATTATGTTTTATTATTGGTTTGTTTAAATTGCCTTATTTTTGGAATAAAACAAATTATTAAAATTAATGGCATTTCCTTTTATTAGAATGGACAGCAAACAATATAGCGATTTTGGGATGCTTTTACCTATTGGTTTAATATAATTTAACCTGGAAGTTTATTTAAACCTTTTGGTTATTTTATTGTGTTTAATTTAACTACTTCATTTATCTATAGGTAATTTATAACTCTTTGGTTTTGGTTTAAATTCGGTTAATGTAACACATTATAGTAAAAAATTACTAAAATTAGTTAAATTAAACTAACTTAAACTAACATAAAAAAATTCCGCCGATCTTACGTTCTGATTTAAGTTGCAGCCTTGCTTTATTTTTATAAAACGAATCTGTACTGTAATAAAACCAAATTAATTAAATGTGAGGGGACTGTTTTAAAGGCGGGTTTATACAACAATTGATAATTTAGTGGTCAATTTATTTCATAACTCAATTGTTAATTTAATGCATAATTATTAGATATGTATTAAAATTTGCTGTATAAAATTTATTAATTTAATGAATATAATATATTATATTCTTTTAAATGTCAATATGGACAAGACACTCAATGCCAGGGCTGGATGCTCCCGTGTACGAGTTTTGGTTCGTCCCGCGCATGACGTCACTTGATGAGTAGTTGCCGTACGAATACACGAATAATAGTAATATTATCAAAGAAAATAGAGAAATTTCTTAATATTGAAGAAAGTGTTATAATATGGATAATAGATGCTTTCAGTCTTTGATAACATTTAGGGCTGTAGTTTAAGCGTTGGTGTTTTAAATTAAACTTATAGTCACTGTCCAGAAAATGTTTATAGGAAACAGAAGCGGTCTTGACGTAAATATTGTCTATTATTTCTGTGGCATTTAAACACTGTTTCCACAAATCAAACTTTTTCGGGAATCGATTACATGAAATGTTTTTATTTAAAGGGTTTTTCTTGGACTGGTTGTCCGAATTGCATCCAAATATGCCACACCGCATTTTAATAAATGCAAATGGCACTATACAATCTAAAACACAAACAAAACAAGTTAACGCAACACAAAAACAATAATAAACAAACCTAACAGGTTAACCTAACCCAATAACAATAATTTGAACGCTGAAAAGTAATTCGAACCTTACCGAACACAAAAACGACAAGTTAAACAAAAAGTAGAGCAAGTTAACATCCAAAAGCATCGCAAAAACAAGAATTTTAGCAGCAGATAATTAAAAAGCACGTTAAAGATTTAAAAACACTCATCAAGTGACGTCATTAAGCCCCGCCCTATCTTAAGGTGTATGTATCTTGCTCAATGCTAACTACTACACCACCGCCCTCGGTGGTGTAGAAGTTAGCACTGCGGACTACAAGCCGAGAGGTCGTGGGTTCGTATCCCACCAAGGGTATGGCTGTTTATTTGTGTGTGTCAGTGTGTACTTCTGTAATTGGACCTGGTGCCTGTTGGAAGCACACATTAAAAATAATAATAATAAATAATAATAATTTCCCTGATTTTTTTGTACTCCTGTAATTGGGCCTTGTGCCTGTTGGAAGCACACATTAAAAATAATAATAATAAATAATAATAATTTCCCTGATTTTTTCGTTTCTGTGATTTATTTTATTTTATCAATAAGAATAGTTGAGAAAGAGTAAACTTCACTAAGTGAAGTTTACAAAATGAAGACAAAGAATGAAAAAATGTCTTAATCCTTAAATTTATTATGGATTATTATTTTGCTACTACAGCAGCTGTAATTGCAAAACCAAGATTTAGATTCAAAAGACGGTGTAAAGTCAGACCAATAAATAGAAATAGAAAAATAAAGTAGTCAACTTAATACAAAACTATAAACAATACTCCAAAACAAATAATTTGGCAATATTTATAACCTTTCAAAACTGTTAAAAAATGTCGGTGTACCTACACTAAATTGTGAGTTACTGATTAAATCGTTGTATAAACTGATTCATAGCAAATAGTGCGATTTAAATTTTATGCTTATGCACTAAATTGTGAATTAGGAAATAAATTAATGATATGATATTGTATAAACCCTCCAAAAGATTTTTAGATACATAATTATTTACTCTTCTATAGTAAGTTGAAGAAAGTCTATATTTTTTTAAATTATTTCTTTTATGCTCCATTATCACACAAAACTTACAACCTATAGGTTTACGTATAATGCTGTTTTTAGACTAATTTTTCTATGCAGGTAACAATAAAAACTGCAAAAAAATTAAACAGTTTATTAATTTACCAGCGAGTTAAAATGTATTTGGTAAAATATAACTTGTTGGTAAAAAATTATATCTAAATTAACCAAGGCCGTGGTTAATTTACCAAAAAGTTACATCAAAAGTTAAACTAAACCAAAATATGTATAAAAAATAACAATTATAAATAATAATTTCTGATTTACAGACACGTCATGGTGAATATTTGTTTTTTGCAAATTGTAACAAAGGCTTTCTTTATTAATTTAGCAGTATATTTTGCCCCAACATGTTGGGGCAATACGCTAAAGAAGTATCGCTAGTAGCGCCACCATTTGGCTGTTATCATCGTAACAAAAGTGAAACTTTTAATAATCAGCTGTTAAACGCTTTGTTACAAACGAGTGTTTTTGAGAATAAAGCCGGAAAACGTTAAAAAAATATCGGAAAAAAACCGTGGCTCGATTTGTTGTGTTGTTGGGTGTATTTCGAGAGGAAATCCTGGGTTAAGTTTTTACCGGTTTTCCAATAAACAGTGTTAATCTGAATGAAGAAATAAATTGCATACAGTCTCTGTAAATATAAATTGTACCTATTAGATACAATAAATACACATTTTAGTAGTGATTAACGTAAAAAGTGTAAATATTTCAATACAGTAAAAATCGTTAAACAAATAAGTCTTCTAAATTTAAACAGCATTTAGCATTATTAAAAGCGTTGATTAAGAAAGTCTCCACTCAACGGTAAAATACCATTATATTATGTTTTATATATAATATTATGTTGCCATGAATTCGTAGGTATACCTATATATATATTTTTTTGTTTAAAATAATTTTAAGGTTATGTTTGTGCAAAAATTATTTTTTACTAATTTCTTAAAAATGTCCAAACTTAAATATAAATTATATTAGGTAAAGTTATCATGAGTTCATTCTGCACCAACAAATGTACTTACCGAATTGGATCCTTTGAAAATGCAATGATTTAGTTTTTGAATTTTATTTACAATTAAAAACACAATAATTCACCAGGATAAAATACACACACTAACGTAACTATATAAGCATTTAAGTGTTACTTTTCTTAATCAATAATATAAGGAATAATCAATCGAAATCAAGTACTAAAAAGTTTTTTTAATTTTTTCCTTGCAACGTAAAACATAAATAACGTGCGCGATTTAGCTGTGCAATTGAATGAAATTTGTCGAGTAAGACTTCTGCCTTCCTTTCTTTTGTGAAAAAACTATAGTTTTTTCACAAAAGAAAGGTATACCTATTTATTTAAAAAATGATGTATAATCTGTGCTTTATTGTTGACAATTCTTAAAGTCACGCAATGCTATAGAAGTCCACCAGATGGCGCGGGCGTTGAGAAAACCCGATAATTCTTTAGCGTATAGTTAAAAATTTAAACATTCAATTTTCTTAGTTTCTTCAATAAACTTTCTTGACCCATTACAGTTTATATTCATAAGAAAGAATTGAACCTACAACTTTGGCGACCTATAGGTTCAATTCTTCTAACTAAATATTTAGTGGTCTAAGAATAAAATAAGGATATTAACTTTAAATTTGATTTTATCAACGTAAACTTTTTTTTTCCAAATCAGTCGAGCCAGCTCGTTGGTCGTCCTGGTCGGAATGGTCGGATTGCAACTCGGACTGCATAAAAACCAGAAAAAGGCAGTGCATACCAGGAAATGGGCAAGGGAAAAAGACGTGCAATGGAAAGGACACGCAGACGAATTTCTGTTCGACGGAGCAATGCAGATCCATGGAGCTCACAAGAGTAACCGAAGGTAAGAAAAGTTACTTTATTTTCGTGAAATATAAATAGAATTTTAAATTGAGGTACGAGCTTCAACATCGTTCCTATGTAAGACGGTGCTCCTTTAGTCTATTAAAGGTCTGAGCAGTGAGTAATAACTTTCTAAGCCGTGTGAAATTATATGCATATTGCGGGCTAAAATTTATCAAGGAAAATTTACATATTTTCTTCCCTTGGAAAAATACACGGTCTCGTTAATAGAGGTTTATGCATATTTGAGGCCTTGCTATTTATTTACATGCCTTTCTTATTTGTATTTATTGAGAGTTCATTCGCTTTTTTATCATCAATTTGTATTCATCATTTATTGTTCGAAAACAACAAAGTTAAATTTCCCTCGAGTTTACATATACGCCCCTCGTTAATATGTAAAAATGAAATATTACTCATATATCGAATAAATGCAATAAAATAAAGCACAGCAACAACAATTTGTTGTCGCCAGACACGGCACACCGTACATATTTCAAAAGATACAGCGACTTGATTTTTAAGTGCCCATTGTCTTATTGTCGCTGGTGTATAGATAATGTTGTGGGCACGTGTTAAAAACTATACAAAAAAGGGTAATAAAAGTATTGTTCTTAGACCACAAGAAATATGTTATGAGTACATTGACTTTTAAGGACTCTACCGTGATAACACAGTTCCAAAAAATTTCTTCCCAGCGGCGTAACTAGAAAAAGTGCCGCCCGGGGCAGCAGTGGCTGTCGCCCTCATGTTTTTTTTTGGGGGGGGGAAGAGAGGTTAGGTTAGGAGTCAGTTTTGAGGACCGTACGCAAAATTAAAAATATATAATTATATATATAACATATATATGTATATAACATTAAATTGTAATATTTTAAGAATTAAAAACAAACAAAAATTCTTAGACCTAGGTAAAGAAAAACAACAAATAAAATGTGCTTTAACATAATTTATATGAAAAAAACAAAGAGATAAATTCTCAACCTTATGTAAAAGTACCTACAAAAAAAACTTAAACCTGAGTAAAAAATAAATAAAAATGTTTAAATATTTAGAATACCGGTCTTGTTTCTATTTTTTGCTAGCTTTATTTGATTTGGAATATTTTGGGAGTAATTGTATAAATCTCAAATCTATTGGAATTTGAATTATATTATTTCGAAAGAGAATATTTAATTATCAAATATTTTTTTTATTTTTATATTCTGTCTTCCAGTTTTTTTCGCATTTTCTCTCACGATTTTTGCCGCCCCAAGAAGTGCCGCCCGGGGCGGACCGCACCCCCCGCCCCCCCCCTAGTTACGCTACTGTTTCTTCCTATATATAGAGAATAAACAACTTGCTTAACTTAACCTGAAAAAAAATTATATTGGTCTATATTGTCTTTATTACATAACTTTTTTACAATGTTTCAAATACCTATCTACCCATCTACATATATTTATATAATGTATGCCGCGGTAGTGATTCTTTCAAACCTTCAGACACGTTGATTTTTTTTGCGAGACGGACATTTTTTGCTATATTGGCCTGTTTAACCAAAATTTTTATTTGTACCTATAGGTATTATTATTATAATATCACTCCAACATCTAAAATTTAATACATAATACTACACACATAAATATAATTATGTAATAATTATTACCTACACATACATTTGGTGGTTATTTCTATCAAATTCCACTAATTTAGCAGCTCTTTTATAATTTCAAACCAAATATTAACTAACACAAGAAACAATCTTCCAAAATGTCGGACACTTAAGTGGTGAATATTTTTAAGAAAAGGCCAGTCGTACCAATATATACTAATCTTAGAATAAATATAATTATATTTATATCCAGTATAGTTTTATATCTAACAGAATAGAGGTAATTTTCCAAAATTTGATCTAATCGATTGTTAATCTTAAATTAAGAATAAAATTATTTCATTTAAAGTCAGGTAAGAATAAGATCTGCTTGTTTAAAGATAGATTAATATATAGTTAAATGTTAGTTTTAGCCTTGACAATATTAGGTCAATCATCTTGTTTCAACTGTACTTGATTTTAAGCTAAGAAATAAAATCTTTTTAATTTAAGGATAGGTTAATATTTAAAAGAAATTTAATGATTCGTAGCCTAAGCAAATTATACTTAAAATTTGGGATTTTATCTTTACGGTGTTTAAAAGTTAACATCATTCAAGATAAAAGAACTTTTATATGCTCATATAAACCACTTAGCTGAAGAATTTAAGATAAAAGTATCCATACTGTAACTCTTTAAAGGCATATTTTCTTTTTTTCAAATTTCCACATAGAAAAACCTTATACATTTTCATTTTTATTATAAAAATTAGCTTAGCATGCCGTGTTAGCTGAGAAATATTAGAACACAAAAACCGGCAGTTAGAATTATAAATAATAAAAAAGTGATATGTCATGCAGAGGTTTGTTTAAGTCTAGAAGGATTCTGACAGCTACTGATTTTTATGTTCAAAAACAAGCACTTGTTTGAGAAATGCAAATCTAGTCTGAAAAATAGAACGCATTGTTACATATGTCCCAGTCACAGATTAACCATCTACGAAAAAAGCTGTTTTTATTCATTTATTATGGGCTTTAACAAGTTACCAGTCTGTTCAAAATTTTAATATTTTTAAATTGAATGTTTTTAGTTATTCAGTTGAAATGGAGCCCTATGATCTTAATGAATTTCTAGCATATTAGCGTATTGGTGTCCTCCTTTTTCCCCTGACAATGTTTCCAGTATTTTTGTATTTTGATATGTTATGTGTATAAATATTTAAAATATTTGGAATAAACATTATTATTATTATTTAAGAACTCAAGAACGTAAATTGGTAATTGTGGAAATTATCCAGATGAATTCATTACGGACAAGTAATCCTCGATGACCAAATAAAATTTCAACTAAATAAAAAAATATGTCTTATTGCACCTTCTATGCAATTCTGTCGACCTATTTACATGTGGATTAAGGCTGCAATTAGCAGCACAACGATAATCTGGGATCAATGAGGCCTAAATATTTCAGGCTACTGCCGTTTACTATTAGGACGTAACTCGGGATTATCTCTGACGTTTTGGCGGCCGGTTATGACGCCCAGAATGTTAATATTGACTCCGATCGCGACGGATTACGTTTGACGTCCCTTTCTCTGTAGTAGTTCGACGAAAATGCGCCAGCCTGAAAGGGTCGCACGACCCGAACTAATTGCGCCACCTAAAGAGAAGTCGGCAAATAAACGCTCGGTAATGAAAGTTTTGGCCGGCTCCTAATCCAAAAGTAATTGCTAGAACCGTTTCGGTCAGGCAATAATAACGATGTTGAGATCTTAAGTGAGAAGTGAACGTTAAGGAAACAGTTCTTGATTTTTAGGCAAAAACGATTAAATGGATAACAATTATCACTTATTCAATCATTAGAAGGTATTAATACCAGATTTTAATCTAATACATTTACTAGGCGATAGAACTCGAAAAAAATAAGAAGAAAAGTTTAAATCAACTTGTATTTTTAAAGCTTCGTTTTCAATAGCCAAATTTAATGAAACTTTTTAGGTTTTTAATAAGAAAATAGTTGTTTATCTATTTTTATTTAAGCATGATAGAGAAAAAATGTAAAAGATGCATTACCAACTTTGAATTGTAAAGTGTCTGCCGTTAAATTTGCTTTTTTAAGGCGTAATTCTAATGTGTTATAAAAAAAGATAAATATTTTGCCTATTTTTTACCAAGAACTGTAACAATTTCTATGTTTTACAACATTTTTTTTACGAAATTATGAAAATAAAACCATTTACTTTTCATTTCATTTTTTGTGTGTTCCAGTTGCTAATAGCTTAAGGCTGGCGCGCACCGTTCTATATTATTGATGGGTCACCGTCATTTTATATTTGAAGTTTTTTTGTAATTTTGACATTTCCCCGTAAGAATCGTTTGTTGCAGATTATTATAAATAATTTTATACATTGTGTTTATCATATTCTACCACTGGCGAATGTTACAAGGCTTGTTGATAACGCCAACAGTTATTAGGTTGTGAAGACATTGCACCCTTAGTGCTTATTCATAATGGACGTAACCATAAGATGTCCGTAAGAAATACGCAAAACGTAAAGTTGAATATTAACAAAACCAGTGTGCCTGTTTATAATGAGTAGCCGTAATTTTTACGTTTTACGTTCGAACATAAGATCTTATGGGTGACCGTAAAAAATACGTAAAGTTGAAATGAACTCAACTTTACGGGTTTCTTATGTGTGAATTTAAGTAATTTTCATGATTTCAATAGAACATTGTTGGTAGAAATCAGGCTGCCATTCAAACAGATGACAGATGTTTTTCAAGTGTATTCTGGTGTATCTAAAGAACCATTCCTCATCGTGAAATTTTAGTTTGAGTATCATTCGACAAAATTCGCCCTTTTTTCCCTGCCCCTATTCACTGGTCTTACACTCCACCGACGAGGTTTCCGTTTCTTCTTTTCGGTTGTGGGCAAACTTCTTCTCTTTGCCAACGAAAGGAAAAGTAATTCCACATATATATCGCTCATTACACTAAGGTTATGATAACACTGATAGTTTTAAGACATAATAATTAGACGAAAGCTTTTAATCCTGTCATTTTAGTGAACTTGGACATGCGCGCCCTATTAATATATAGATAAGGCATACGTTCATTATAAACACAGATCATCGTTACGTACAAATTATGGTGATATTATGTTTACGTTTTATGGACACCTTATGGTTACGTCCATTATGAATGAGCACTTAATAATAAATTTGGAAAAATACTCAGACACCAAGTCTGACCTGGTTCGCTCTAAAGACAAAGACGACTGGTATTTTAGTATTTTTGTGTTTCTGGTAATTGTGTACATATGTAATAAAAGTGTAATAAACTCCGTTGTTTCCTCTCTAAACACATTTAATCAAAATTTGTCCGTAACAAACTCCTAATTAGTTAGTGTAGAAGATTATAACAATG